GAATCGGCCTAGGTCGCTTTTGATGATGTAGGCGTTACTAGTAGAAAATACTAGTAGAAGCTACAACATTGTTTTGATACAACTACACGATATCGTTATTTTCACTTAACCTTCCACATTATCCGAGCTGGACTGGGTTTCGTAATTAACCCCAACACGAATAGAAAGATGGTCGCGAGCCTAGTGGTTAAAATTTCAGTCAAGCCTGGATGATAAAGTATTTAGGATGGCGAGGATAATTTAACTTCATTGGCTTAATGCGGCTTACAAATTTCAAATTGCATGAAACGAACAGTCTTCCTATACATGATACGCTGTCAACCTCGAGGTTTATCAACGACAAAAACTCAGTAAACATCGTTCGCCTTACAAGTTAGTATTGCTGCCGAGATGGTACGACCTGAGTCTGCTCAGACTAGAGGCTGGAGACAACAGCTTGCTCCAGACTGAGGTAAATTGAAGCAGCCATTGTTCACCTTTACTGGTGGTTTTCTGAATAAGTGGCTAATTTTGCAGATGTCTAAAAGTTAAAAGATTTTTATGACATACGGCTTGCTTGGGGATCCCACTGATCCCATTAAAAAGGACCCAGTGAGAATGAGACGCTCTGGACGATCTTCACGTGTTTAACTAGGACTTTCCTTAAAAAGCCAGCAGTGCCCTACAGGGCTAAACGTACTTCCAAAACATGAAGAGCCCCTTTCGAGGATATTTCCCTATTTCTAATGCATTACGTACCAGACATCAGCGCATTTCTCTGTCATCAGTATGCCTGATGCTATTCTCAGAACATGTACTCACGAAAGACGGATGCCAGTGTTACTTTCATTTTGTTTTTAAAAGCGGGTTGAAGGAATTTGCAAGTTGACCTCACCGAAAACCGAAGAAAAATTGCCATGGACTTCTGGCTGCTGTATTGTGCAAAGACGATCCCGACTCACCTTTCCAGGATGCCCATGTATCCGGGCAAAAATTTCGTCCTTCCTGTGACTTATATCGGCAGAGAAACAAGCGCTTACTTACGAAAATCCACCCAAAAACACCAAGCCAAGCTTTCCACAACTAAACAATTCCTTTTATAATTTAGATATTTGTGGTTAATTTTCACAAAGGATGGCGCCTAGCCCAAAAAGCTTCAGCACCAAGATGGATTTATTGGAGTTGCAGGACGATAAACCGTGATCGACTTCACACGATCCAAAAGTCAAAAGTCCAGATCAATCCTACTTTTGGCATAAGATGAGGCTAAATTACGAATTCCTTTCACCCGCCTATTTACATTTAAGGAAAGGTGACAACATCAATCTATCAAGGGATTCTTTGAGGCACAAACTCTCCTTATATCTATGACAAATATGACCCTTTTTTCTAATATATTCGCTCAACTGGTTCGACTAGCTAAGGCGTGATCTGGCTGATCATACGCATGCATTTGGTAGTTGGTGGTGCAAAAGCCTTCATAAATAACATCCATTAGTGGGTGTCACGAGCATAAAACGTCATCTTACGATGCTCCCTAACCAAATTAATGCGATCCTCTGGTCGCCAAGGCAACAATATGAAAGACTTGACACCGAATACTGTCGGCCTGGTTGTCGGAGGTCAGACTTACCTCGGCCTCGAGAAGAGGGTAGAAATGCACCGACAACTGAGGCACCTGCCAGGTTGCCAAGAGGACAGGCAAACGAATTATCGCCTCCTCATCGGCCAGAAGGTGTAGGCGGAGGTGCCATGTCTTCGGGCGTGTTGGTTGTTCCTGCACGGAAGCGTTGCCAAGACGGTTTAGTGACAATCGGCGAGTGACGAGAATGCTTTTGAGCAAGTCCTGAAACCGGATCAGGCTCTCCTGTCCACTGACAACCACAGCCACGTCGACGATAGTCGACCAGTTGGCAGAAGGGCCAAGCTGGTCAAAGAGGGAGTATGTGGACAGGTTGGCGATGTATTCAAAGTCCTGTGGAAATTCAAAACAAGGTGGATTGTAAAACAATGAGTTTGTAGTTTTCT